CTTTTTCATACCCTACATATCACATCATACTTTTTCTCTAATATTCAATCCATCACATCTTACTTTTACCCATCACATCAAGGGTAAAATTGGAAGTCAACTACAATTTAACGCTTCCTTATTTTACACAAAGTCAAAATATGAACACTTTTATAGAACGGAGGGAGTATAAGATTAATGTAAGTATACTTACTGTTTTTTTGAAAGATGTAAGTATACTTACGAGTTGTATAATATTCATAGAATTAATAAGGAGAAAATTAAATAATGCATTTGTCCTTGAAAATTTTTCAACTTTTGAAAATGGTTGGATATGATGTGTAAGATAAGTGTGTCTTAATTAGAAAACTAGTATTCCTACCCGTGCAATGCACGGGTTCCGACGAATATCTTGTCAATTCTGAATTTATTCAATGTAATATTTTTTTCCAGAATAAAGAAAATATATTTATAGCACGATTTTTAATCAATGGACAACAACGAAAAAGTAGAATATGTAATATTTGAGGAATTGAAAGTGTACTAAAAAAATCTTATTTAATTCCATTTTTTAAAACACTTTAGGGTACATAACATTTTTGGTATGATTGTAAGGGTTTCCATTCTCATCTAGAACCAATATTTTTAATCATGTTTTAACCTTCACTCGTAAAAAAGTAACATAAAGTTAACTATGAGTAAATATTGAGTTGGTTGAAAATAGTACAACAAAAGACAATGTTTGACCTTCACTTTTGTTAATAGTCATAATAAAAGATAAGGCTATTGAGAATTGTCGTCTCTAGAATTTCAGGAGTAGTCTTGGATCAGATGGTACCAAATTCATTCGGAGTATGTAAATCTTTTTCCCAACTGATTTCCGGAAATCTCAATTGGAGTGATAATATTCTTTCTCAGCTTCTCAATGGCTAATCTTCTACCATTACACAGTTAAGATATTTGGTCAATGTTTTTCAATGACATAATTGTTACTCCTTTTTAAAAACTATTTTGTGGTTTAAGATCTCCCAACATTTGATTTTATTAAAAAAAATGAAGTGTTATCCAATCGTCTTCAACAACTACATCTAAATCAGTTTTGCATGAAGAATCAGAACTTACGTACTCCTTTTTATCTCCTAGGATAAGGGATAAGACTAATCTATTTACCATTCAACAAACTCGAGTGTGGGTGCTTATAGTGCACTATCCTAAAAAGGAATAATTTTTTATGTTTTCTAATAGGTTTAAGTGAAATCCATTATACTCTTGAGGGGAAAACTTATGTCAAGAATCAAGAATCCAAACGAGATTTCAACGTTAACAGTTCCATCGATCACTTGTCTAAGTTTTCCATCTTCGACTGTGATTATCCAATCAGAAAAATCCTGTGTGTCCCTATTTGTGCAAGAGAGTGTAGATTAGTGCAATCTCATATCTGGCTTGGAATTTTTTTAATATATACAAAGTGAAATTATTGCTCTGTTAAATAAACATTGCTATTGGTGATTCTTCTATATAACAATGTAAATTTTTAATTTAAAACCAAACTTATTGAAAATAATTAGGGCATATCACATTTTTCGTGAAATTGCCCATATTAATGTCATCTAAACTACAATAATGTTTTCAAGCAAATCTTTGCTTTCACTCACGAAAAAAATGTAAAATTGTTCGTAAGTGATTATCGTAAATAATATTTCAACACATCGCAATGTTTGGTCTTGACTCTTTTTGATAGTCATAGCAAACCAAATTCATTTACGGCATGAAAACATTCTCCTCAGCATTGTTTCGTGATCCTACAATTGCACCGATGATATTTTTCGCAACTCTTTAGTGATTAACTTTGTACAATTACACAATTTAAAATATTCCTTAACAACATGATTGATACTCCTTTCTTCAAAGACGAAATCTGTACCATTAAAGGTTTATAAAAAAATTAGTAAAAAGAAATAATACTCCCCCTGTCATGTAATTTCCTTTTTAATTTGACTTTATGTTGGGGCAAAAAGAACCAAGTTAAGATTAGAGATTGGATTTTGAGGATATAATCTCACATCTCCACTTAGGTAAAAAGCAAAGACTAATATTCACATTGTTAGTTACTCTTTCAATTGACAATTGGTTTTTAGTTGAAATATAATAATTCTGAAGTTACATTCGGAGTCAAGAGAAGTCGTAGTCAGGTTAGCAATAGAACCAAACAATGAATCCTTTAATACCTATCTCCCTCTGTCAAAGTCCAAAATGACAGATTGTAATGAACATGGGCAAAGAGATGTCAGAAAGGGGAACATAGAAATTGTCCATTGGAAGGAAGTAGTTCTCCAATTATATTTCTTACAACATGTGATAATAAAGCAACAATGAGAAGATTTAAAAAATAGAAAAGGAACATGTAGAAGAAATAGCTTGAAAGATAACCAATCTTGGTTTGTCATTGCAACACATCACTATAAATTGATTACTCCGTATTATGTTACACATATGGGCTCTGGTTGTATGCGGGGCATTAGTGTTAAAACAAAAACATATCAAATAAATCATTACTCATGTAATGTTTCACTTAATTAGAAGTGAAAAATCCAAAAATGATAACATCTTTGACTGGAAAGTTTTGGCTCAGGTAGTCACTTACACTCTTATACTAAAGAGTAAGTTGCATTTTAAGTGCCTGCATTATCAATGTCAATGTTCTATGTGTTCACAAATATCTATACCCAAATGGAGAGATTCTCACTCCTTAAAAAACTTCAATTCAATACTCTTAGTTCATTTGGTAAACCTTGGGTGGTGATAGTGCTATAGTGCGTGTTTTAAAACTCTGTTTACCAAGCACTTTTAAGGTACATATATATTGCTATTTTTGGACGTCTTGGAGGGAGTATAAGATTAATGTAAGTATACTTACTGTTTTTTTGAAAGATGTAAGTATACTTACGAGTTGTATAATATTCATAGAATTAATAAGGAGAAAATTAAATAATGCATTTGTCCTTGAAAATTTTTCAACTTTTGAAAATGGTTGGATATGATGTGTAAGATAAGTGTGTCTTAATTAGAAAATAATGTTAAAATTACTTATTTTTCGAGCATAACTTTTTTGTTTTGAAAAATTTTATGGGACAGAAGAAGTATATAATATGAGTGTTATTTTCTTATTTGTTCTTGCTTTGAAGTACGGTAGAATGTTTAAGGAATAGGAATGTATAGATTAGTAATAAATAAATCGGTGGAGTTCTCATGACATTGGAATATCATGTCGGCCAAATAGCTCCGGTGCCCCCCTATGGTTTGGCAAATTGACACCAATACCCCCTCTATTTTCAAAACTTACTTCTAAAGTCCCCGTGGTTTCAAAATGTTGCACTCGTGCCCCATCTGATCATTTTCCGGCTATTTTCCGGCGACGAGGGGGCATTTGCGCATAATTTTTAAACCATAGGGGCCATTCGTGCTCATTTTTTATTTTTCGTTTAATATTTGTGTTTTCCTTTTTTAAATATTTTCTATCTCTTTTTCCTTTTCCTAGATTCTTTTCTAATTTATTTTCAATTTTTTATAAATTTTAAAATTTTTAAAATTTTTTGTGTTTGAAATAAAAATAAAAATAAAAAAATTAACATAGATTGCATCTATTTGAAATTAAACATTTTCATTTTTTATTACGTACTTATTTAGAAAGTTCAAAAAGAAAAACCTAGAATAAAAAAATAAAAAATATGGAAAAATAAAATGAAAAATAAAGATACACAAAAAAAGTCTGATACAAAAAAAAATGGACAAGCCCAAAAAAGTCCTTAGAATTGAGATGTTTGAAAAAGATATTCATTTTTATTTTTGTACTATTTTGTTTCTTATTTTATTCCTCATTTTTTTGAAACTCTAAAAAAAGTTAACTTTTTTCAGAAAAAACAACAATTGTTGATTTGAGAAGTACACACACACACACACATATATACACATTATATGTTAATTTTTTCAAACAAAAATAACTTTAAATTTTATGAACATTATAAAAATAATTTTAAAAAAACCTTTATTAATAAAAGAAACAAATAAAGGAAAAAATGGAAAAAAACAAAAAAATAAGCGAGAAATAAAAATCAGCACCGATACCCCTTGTGATTTAGTAAATATGCACCAATGCCCCCCTTCTTCGCCGGAAAAATGGCGGGAAAAGGATCAAAGGGGGCACGGGTGCGGCATTTTGAAACCACAAGAACTTTAGAAATAAGTTTTGAAAACAGAGAGGGTTTTAGTGCTTATTTTGCAAACCACGGGGGTACTGGCGCTATTTGGCTATATCATGTCTTGAGATGAACCGAACACCCCCACCCCTAAACGAATATAATATGATAGATATATTATATCCTCCGTCCTTATTTAAATGACTTGTTTTAGTATTTGATTGAAGTTATTTTCAAATAATTTTATATGAAAAATAGTGTGAAATTAAAAATAAAAACTACATATTTAAAAACTACATAAAAATATCTAAAAAAAGTCGCGATGACATGACTATATTATTTTGTCAAATACTGAGTATCTAGTAAAAATCGGAAAGAAAATGAGTGAAATTTTACTATGTTTCCAAGCAATTTAATTTGTGACGTAGGGAGTAATTAGCCATTAACAAATAAAGTAATATTTTAATAGAAATGAGCTTATTTTTGAGACGGAAGAAAAATGCCATGAAAAGATTTTAGGGATGGATAAATATTACGGAGTACTATCTAGCTAGAATCGATTTTCTGAGCGGTCGAAATATCCTCCTTCATCTGTTTTGGATAATTCAAATAAAATTTTACATTATCCTTTGAAAAAAGGAATAAATAAACAAACCTATACAAGAAGGATTTACTTGACCAAAAAGGAATAAATAATTACGTAGCTTAATTATATTTCCCCTGCGTAAAACTCTTTTGAAACTACAATACCAATCAGACTAGGAGTATGTTATATGTATTATGCTTATTTGTGAATCTATAAATAAGTGGTGAACTAATTAACTTCAAACTAATTAACTACCAAAACCCTAAATCATCAAATCAGATTGATACTACAACGTAACAATGGAAGGAGAAGAAGATGGGTACTTCGTCCGCTCGGAAGATGGATACACGCCGAAGGAGATCCTCCGCACCACCGCCGCCGCCGTCCTGTGGAAAGCCACCGCCAAACCCTCAACGCCGCCGCCGCTGTCCCAACCTGAGAAACCCGTCCAGATTCTGACGGTGGACGCCGACAAGTTGGAGTGCGTGTACGAGCTGACGGAGGAGTACAAGCTCGCCAAGCGGTGCCGCCACGAGCACCTCGTGGGCGTCCACGTGTCGTTCCGGTCGAAGACCGACAACCGGCTGTGGATCGTCATGCCCTCCGTGTCTAGGGTTTCGCTGAGGGCGATGATCGCGTCGTCGCCCTCTGCCCTGCCGGAGGCCGGGGTCGGGACCCTCCTCCGGCAGACGCTCGAGGGCCTGGACTGCGTCCACGCCCTCGGGGACAGGCCCCACGGCAACGTCTGCGCCGGGTGCGTCTACATGGCCGACGGGGACTTCGCGGCGGCGAAGCTAGGGTTCCGCGAGCTCATGTGCGAGAGGACGACGAAGCGGGCGGCAGAGTGCTGGGTGGCGCCGGAGCTGGCGCGGGACCCGAAGACGGTGCATGGGAAGGCGGCAGACGTGTGGATGTTCGGTTTGTTCGCCTTGGAGCTCGTTTACGGCGGGGACATCCCCGTCTCGACGCACAAAAACGTGAAAGCGTTTCTGCGTGACAACTTAAACGTCAGAACCCTTTCTTCGTCCTCGTCTAGGCCCTCGTTTTCTTGGAAATTATTTGGCAGGTTTAAGAAGACGAAGACAAAGACGAAGATCGTTGCGATATCGGATTTGCTTGGGGAGGTAATAAGGATGTGTCTTCGTGAAGATCCAAGCAAGAGGCCAACCACAAAGCAATTGCTGGAACATGAGTATTTCAAGACGACATTATCATCATCCAATAAGATGAAGAAGGCTTTGGCAGATCAGTTGAAGAAAGCATGCACATTGTAGATCGATTGATCAATTTAATTGTAGTGTGTATGATTTCTATCTGATCTCTAGGTTTATGATTAAGTTTTTATTTATATCTATGTTTTTGTTTTTTGTTGAAGGATCATTACGGAGTACTGTACATTGCATTATTACTCCGTAGCTTATTTAATATTCCAGATTTTTCATATTCTTTGTTTGTACTCCCTTCGTCCCAAATTATTTGCCACATTTGTATTCCCGAGGCAAATTATTAAGTTTTTTCAATTCATTTTATTTACATATTGGTATAAAAATAAAAAATTAAATTTACATATAAAAAAACTTTATGAAAAGTTCTTTGAAATAACAGGTGTCAAGAATATTTTATTTTATCAAATAACCAATGAAAACGTCGAAATAAACAAAAGTTCCCGTGAGTGCTGAAAAAGCAAATGTTATGAATATTTAGGGACGGAGGGAGTATGTGTTTTCATTAATTATTTGATGCAAAAAAAAAGAGTCATTACCATACATCACTTATTTTTTAGAACACTTGATGTAGTTGTTCGATTTTGGTTTGTGAAATTAAAATCTACTCCGTAATAAAGAAATGAGAATGCATGCATTGGATTGTAAGATCTAAAGACCATAAAAATTACAGAATTAAAAAAAGAAATCTAGAAAAATGCGGTAATGCGGTAACATTTAAGTAAATAAGTCAAACTTTACTGTCACTACAAAAATGCACTGCAAAATGATAATGTGCGGCAATGGGAAAAAATGCACCACTTGAATTTCTTAGATTATGAGTAATTCTCACCTGCAGTGCACTCATAGTTCTTAAATATGTAAATTGGACTTTTTATCTATATATAGTAAATTACTTCCTCCGTTCCTAAGAACTCTTCATTTATTTACTTTTAAGAGATTTAAGATGGGTTATTTTGGTGTTAATTTTATAAAAATATCATTGGATGCTAGTAGTAAACTAATAATGTTTAAATATGATGTGATAAGTAGAGTAAAAAACATTATAGGTAAAAACCATAAAAGTGGCATTTAAGTGGAAATTAACTTGAAAAGTTTCTTGGGACGGATGAAAAAGCGAAAAATGAAGGTTTTTTACGGACGGAATAGTTTTTGTAAATAAAATCATTTATAAAAAAAGTTGAAATTTCGTACATTGTTCGGGAAAAAAAGACAATTTTTAGAGATGGACCGACAAGTAAATTAAAATTTTCTTGTTTTTGCAATATGTCAAATTGTTTTATGATATTAATGCACTATGATTTATAAAATGAATATGAACTTTAGAATCACGAAAGATTTTACCATATGTTTTGTAGGTGTATGAATTACTTTTTCTTGAAAGTTAATGACCCTAGTCATATGAAATGGGCCAAAAAGAAAAATGGACCAAAAAACTCCTCCTTTTGACTTTTTTACCATAAATTGTAATAGAAGTATATTTTATTATAGTGTATATTCAATAGAATTGGAATAATGCAATATAGTTTTGATAAATCATTTTTATAATATTTTCTTTATCTAAGTTATACAAGTATTTAATTTTAGTCAAAGTAGAGTGCCACTATTTAACTATAAAAGGTAATAAACATGCAAGAGTTTATGGGACGACGAGGATGTATAAATTAAGGGTCCATTCAATTCAACTTATTTTTATAAAAATTGGATCACATCAGAACAGAATAAAATCTAATTAGATCAAAATCAAATCCAATTAGATCAGATCAGATCGGAAACATCTTTAAATATATATAATTATTATATTCAGGTCAGATCATACTAGATTAAATCTAATCATATGAAAACAACCCAACCAATAAGAATAGGCCAAATCAAATTTTCAAAAAATCAAATCATAACATAACACAACCTAATAAGACATAGAACAAATTAAATGTCATGAGGATATGTTGTTTAATTGATTCTTGTTTGTTTCTCACATAGTTTAGAAAAAATAGGAAGTTTAACTTATTAATTTTTTAAAATTAAAATAATTTGTTTGGGATTTAAAAAATGAATAATGGAAAGATAAAATAAAATACGGGCGGGGTAAAGAAAAAAGATTATTTTTTCTTTTCTTTCTTTCTTTTTCATTACGTTTTTCAATGCTTTTTTCTTTTACTTTGTATAAAATATTTTAATCTTCTATTTTTTATTTTCTTTTGTAAAGTTCTACAAAACATTTATTATACTTTAAAAATAAATAAATGATTTTTTTTAATTTGAAATAGAAAATTAAAAAAATCTTAATTTGAAATTGAAATAAAAATTTTGATTTGAAATATTTATTTTATTTTAAACAAGAAGAAGTAAAAAAATGAAAGAGTGAACTTTGTGATAGAGCGAAAGAAGAGACATAAATGTGACGGCAAATTCTATGGTGCACTAAGGTCCATCATTGACCCACAACCTATATGTATGAACAAAATAAGCATTTTCTTACTATTCCCTCTATCCGGAAATTTTCTTCCCATTTGACTTTTTATGGTCTTCAAGATTGCACTTTGACCACTAATATCTTTATTTATACATAGATATATTTTGTAAAAATTTGATATTTGAAAACTATATATCAAAAGGAATATATTCATATTAAAGTTATATCGTGATACAATGTATTTTTTCTATAAATCATAGTCAAAGTTTATAACATTTGACCAAAAAAAGTCAAATGGGAAGAATAATTCCGGACGGAGGGAGTACTTAAATAAAAATATGTTTTTTTGATAAAAATTAAAAAAAAAAGTGTTTTACGTGCGAAGGTCCACAAAAATGATATGCACTCAAAATGTATAATTGAAGTAGTCATTTTTATGTGAGAAGGTTCATAAAAATAGTATGAAACCAAGGTGCACCATAGAAGCACTTAAATGTGAGTTTAACTTTGGAAATAAGTGAGAAGGTATGTGTGCACCATTTAAAGTTTTACAAAATGAGCTTTAAATAGGGAGTATAGGTGTTTTATAAATAATTTTTAAACATTTATGTAGTTTGGTATGCTTTTATGAAATGAAATCACCCTAAATAAGATTAAAATACAGAGAAAATATCATAACAGAAATTTCATGTTTTTATTCTCTTAATATGATCCAGAGTTCACACGGTGGGAATTATATGACACTGCACATGAGCAATTTAATTATTAAACTTTTTAGTAATGTAGATGATCATGATTGGTGATGTATATATACTTCAACCTCTATTTCGAAAAAAAATTATAAAACTCTTATTTTATTATATTTTAAATATTTTATTCGAACTTTAATCTTTTTTCCTTTTTATTTTTGGCTCTATTCAATCAACTAATTAAAGGAAAGGGAGTTGTGAGTTGTGACAGAGATACTACCTTTCCCAGCGAGGAGACCTTTCAATGTCATAAGCTTAATTAGCTGGACCTATCTCCCTTTTTTCTCTTTTTTTCGATCTAACTCCTCAGAGCATCTCCAAGCTAAGAAGCTAAGAGCACTTGAAATGGTCATGAAGCCCCGGGGCTTCAAACTTTCTCTCTCTGCCACGTCAGCTTTAACTTACACCAAAAATTCACTGGAAATGGTTTTGAAGCCCCGAGCTTCAAACTGGGGCTTCAAACCTTCATTTTTTACATTTTTAAATATACATCTTCTAAATTTAAATTAATAAATTTAAAATAATTTATTATTTTAATTAATCGCAATGACACTAGTGCATTAAAAAAATAAATTCATTATTAAAAAAAATCTTACATTCATAAAAAAACATTAAAAAAAATTACATTCATACAAAAAAAATTACATAAAAAAAACAACAGTACAAAGAAATCACTAATTATTCGAACGACTAAAGATATGCTCGATCAAATCCGCCGTTAGTGCATTGTGAATCTCTCGGCTTTGAATTTCTTGGCGGTTGCGTCGTTTCTTTTCTTCGGTGATTTCTTCGTACATAGGCACCTCCTCGTCCGGGTTGTATTAACAAATCGCAGACCCCTTATCCTCTATGATCATATTATGAAGAATAATACATGCGTACATGATATTCCTTATTTTTGTCTGAGAATAACATTTCGACGGACGATCTAGAATGTGCCACTTAGCCTTCAAGACCCCAAAGGCTCGTTCAATGTCTTTTCTCGCCGCCTCTTGAGCTTTTTGTATGTCTAGCGTTTAAGACGCATTGGTTCGGAGAGGGATTTCACAATCGTGGAATAATCCGGAAATATTCCATTGGCCAAATAATATCCACGCTTGTAAAGCGTCCCTCTAAGCTCAAAAGAGGAGTCCGGTGCTGTCTCAATAACCCAATCGTCAAAAACGGGCGATTGATCGAGAACGTTGATGTCGTTGTTCGAGCCCGCGACACCGAAAAAAGCATGCCAAATCCACAAGTCATTCGAAGCAACAGCTTCGAGCATGATGGTAGACTTGGGATGATCTCCCGGGAGAATTGACCGTGCCACGCAGTGGGACAATTTTTCCATTCCCAATGCATGCAATCAATACTCCCAAGCATGCCGACAAAGCCGTGTTTAGCAGCATACCTTGCCTGCAACTGCTGGATGTCGCTCGTTGTAGGCTTGCGTAAATATCTTTTATGATAAATTTGAATAATAGCTTTTGAAAATTTATAAACACATGACCTGATGCTCCGAGCCGACATCTTCAAGTATTCGTCGAACATATCGGATCCCGTCTCGTACGCCAACTGACGGAGCGCGGCAGTGCACTTCTAGACGCTACTAAACCCGCGTCGACCTCTCGCATCAAACTGTTGGGTGAACCAAGGAACCTCGCGTTCAACATCGACGAGTATGCGTAAGAAGAGAGGACGACTCATCCAAAAACGATTACTAAAATCCTCCGGTGTATAAACACACGGATTATTAAAGTAGTCGTTTCGAAGTGAATCGTGGGCGGCCGCTCGATCCCAATTTAGACGTTGGCGTCGGGTCCGTCGTCGGGAGGATTCAGCTTCTTCTTGGCCATCTTCCCACTATTGAATACAATTCGTCGTGAAACAACGAAAAAATAAAGCTCTTCTTTCATCGTCGGAAGATGAACCCATTTTTAAATTATTTTTTATAAATATTTATAATAAATAATAATTATTTTAGAGAGAATATAAAGAGAGATGTGTGAGAGAGATGTATGAGAAAGGGGGATTTTATAGTTTTTTTTAAATTTAGAATTNACGGCTACATAGCCGTTGGGGGGGAGGTAATGGCTAAATGGGGAGGGATGCTGCGCGTCAAACGAATGACGGAACCTCGCTCACACCCGTGTCACGCCGAGGGGGTGGTGTTTAATGCCCCCCGGCGTTAAACGCCCCAATCACGCCGGTGGGCGTGAGGCCCATTTCCAGTGTTCTAAGGGAGCCTTTATAGTTTAACAAATAGAGATTTAAACTTTAACATTCATAATAATGGGCTGCAAC